AAAAAACTATATAAGACCTCAAAGTATGTCCACAGTGTGGATGGTTTCAATATTCATTCTTTTACAAGTAGACTACATACCATTAAATTTTATTTTTAGCTTTCTTTCATTGTTTATTCAGACAGGATTCATTCAAAGAAAGATAACCTAGTTTTTTGTGTGTGAGCTTTGTTTTATTTTTTTTGTTTTTGTTTTTGTTTTACTACATTGGTTACTATAAAAGTTATGAATTAAATGTTTTCTTATCTTCTGCATCCAGGAGTGAATCCATGAAATTCTCACATAGTAATGTAAAGCAATGTAAAGTAATGTAAAGCAATAGGTCCTATTAAAAATAGCCAAAGTGAAAAAAGACCAAGTAGCCAGCCTGATCATATCTTTTAAATTATTCGAGCCTTAAAGATCCTGAATAATAAAATAAATTAAATAAATGATAAAAGGTCAGTAAATAAAGGATGGGGCGAAGGAGTGATGACATGGGAGTTTTTTTGGGGGGGAATGGTAGAATAGTAACACATTATAATTGTAATAAGGGCACTTAATATCATTTATTTTTTTCTTAATAATTACGTATGTATTTAGGGAAATCAAAGAAGCAAGCAAACATGAGAATATTAACTAAAGTATCAGTGTTCTTCTTGCCACGTAGTTCATTCAGTTCTTTCAAATAGCATATTCTATTTTTGTATTCACTGCTAAGCATATTTTTCCAGTAGCCATAAAGGAAGTCATATTTAGGAATTTCAGATGCTTCGCTTAGGTCACCGAAGAATTGTTTCAATTTAGAAAAGTGGATTGTGATCCTTCTTGAAACATTCGAGCAGGGGTGCCAGGCCAACATGGATATGCAGGAGACAGAGGAAGAGGGCTCCTGGGCAGTAGTGAAATGAGCTGGGATTGCCTAAAAAGCAGTAGATAGAGTCTTATAAAATCTCAAAGGGCTTTTACAGAAATGACAATTTATACTCTGTTTACATAGTGGAGAAAAACTGCAGATTTATGTCTTTTTGTCAGTACCCCAGAGATGAAGGGAAACCAGATCTATAGCTGTACTGATTTCATTTCCATGAGATGGATGATAATTATGAGCTTTCTGTCTTTCCACATTCTGATTCTTCTCTCTTCCTTCCATTCAGCTTACTGAGAATTTTATTTAGAGATTTCTTTTCCTAATAGTTGTGTTTAGCATAATTTTCTGACACCTCAGTTTCATAAGTAGCAGTGAAGGAGTGAGTTAATAAAATGCAACAGTAATAGTATTTTGTCCCAGAACTTTCCTAATATTAAGCAGTTGTCATTTATATTAGGTGAAAATTCTCAAATCCAAATGATGGGAGGTGATGACCAAATATTCCTGTGTTAGGGGACTAGTATTTGAGGATGTTCCTGCTTCCCCTGAACACATTTGGAAAATGATTTCTATTTATCAGAGAGGATTTGGAAATTTCTGTGAAAAGATGATAATTATGGAATATTAATTGCTTATTAGTAAACTATTCCCAGTTGACATAAGAAAACTCCGGAAACTTGATTAAAAAGAGAAAGCCCCACCTGTCACCTCCCTTTTTATAGATCCTTGGAAAGGGTGGGGACAGGAAGATGAATGATATGTGTTCACCATTTTCATTAGAATGGAATATTAAATTGAACACATTGCTTCCATCTGAGCATGGGTGGCAACAATTTCATTATGTACTGACCTTTAGAGGAAGAGGTGAGGGAGACTTGAACTGCTAGTACTTGGGCTCTAAGACAAATGAGTTCCCATTCCAGGACACAGACTTTCTGTACATGTCCAGGCTTATCCCAGAGAGTCACAGTAGAAAAAAAACAATACAGAATGCAAAGGAGGTCAAACCAGGGATCTGATGAGAGACCGTGGTGCCTACTTAAAATAAAATGGCTTGTTGAGAAGCTAACCACAATGTTCTCATAACATCACAAGGATCTAACTTCTGTCTGTGCCCCTTGCAATATTGTTGTTATGTACCAAACGGTGTTGATTTACAAACGTCAGAAGATTGTCCTGTGCTTTGATTATCGTATAATCTAAGACACTTATCAAACTACTTCCTGTCAAGGGAAGGAACTTTGGAGTATTAAGTTGCCAGGCTACGTTGTATACTACAGTACACTATGCTCAGAATCAGCAGATCTACATGTCTGAGACTTGTCATTTGTTAACTTTAAGCCAGTTGTTTCATCTTTCTTTGCCTGATTCTTTTGTAAAATTGAGGTGATGTACAAAAGAATGTAGAAGAAATAATATGCTCAAGAGTTTTACATAGTATTACCAATCTTGGGGATGAAAAAACTAAAAATAATTACCATAGAATTGAATTTGTTCATCCAGGGAAGGGAAAATGGAAATGTGATTGGCTCAAGCACAAATGGGAAGATCATAGGTCACCTGGGTTGTACAGGAGCTTTTGTCCATGATGAAAAGTGGTGTAGGGGGTTGTCATTAAATGTTTATAAATTCTCACCTGCAGAAATGTAAGTTTAAAAATAACTTCTCTATACCTAAACCTAATGGTGACAATTTAAGTTAATATAATCACTCTGCACTTATTTGTTATATTTATGCATATTATATACATATGTACATCTATGTACATTTATTACATTTATGAATTCAGTATTTACATTTCATCAATTCAAGATTTTTTTTTTTTCATTTCCCTTCTTACTTCTTGGAAATAAATGGAGTCCCAGGATGGTCTTATGTATCATTTTGGCTTTCATGACATTTGCTTCTGCTTCAGATTTACAAAATTTATCCACTGCTTCAAGTAACTTTGTTCCAGACCAGTATCTGTCCAGGATTGCATCAAGAAAGCCCTCACTGTTACTTCAGTGATTTGGGGAAGAATATGGTAAAGGAGAGGTAAAACTACAATGACAAATAATTAAATATAAAAATACTGTTATTCCTTAGAGGGAAGAGAATTGACTTCTTTTTTCTGGATCCATTGCACCACTGTGTGAAGGTCATAGTGATGCCTGGAGCCTCTGGCAGTTGATTCCTTGAGATGGACCTGACTTGGAGAGGATGGCCATACGTAGAGGCCTGTGGAAGGAGAAGAGGCTTTGCCTCTGTAATTGCCCTAGAGAGGGAGGAATGGAACAGTGATTAGTTATTAGTAATGACCTCTCCCTGGGAGAGACAGCAGAGCTAGTAGAATGGAGGTGGGAACAACAAGGTTGTAGAAGCAGTAGGGAGAACTCACTTCCACTGATCCTAGAGCAGTTCATCAGGAAGGCCTTCTCAGTGATCTGGGAGTCCACAGTCAAAGAAGGCTTGATGGGTGACCAATATTTAATGTAATGCAATTGCTATGTTTCTGCCTTTCAAACAAAGCAGGGGTTCTAAGATGGGGCTGATTTAACCCTGTAGGGGACACTTGGCAATGATCTGAGACATTTTTTGTTGTCAAATTGGGGGTGGGGGATGGTGTTCAACTGGTAGAGGCCAGAGATGCTGCTAAACTTCCTAACATGCATAAGACAGCCCTTCACAACAAAGAATATCTAGCTCATTAGTGTCCAGGGTGAGAAATCTTGACCCAGAGGAAGATGTTTTCAAGGGCTTAGACTCTCCTGATCCACCTGATGGGGTTGTACAGAGTTAAAATACAGAATAACTTTTTTAGACAATGTTAGGCAGGAGAGTACTTATAAATACACAACACAAACTCAAGTATTTAATTTAGACTATGTCTGCTTAATGTTTTAAAATTATATAAGGAAAAAGAGTAGCCAATGATCTGAATGTTTATAGATTCCAAAAGAATCAGAATCCTAATGTAGACCTGAATATTTTTAAATTTTGGTCAGAATTACCTGTGGACATTAAGAGTACCTCAGAAATTCTTAGTAGTTTAAATATAGAGTCCACACATGAGATCCATTGCACAGGTGGGCTTAAAAACCACTGTTTCATAGTCACATTAAGAAAGTAAACTGATTTGGGGGCACATGGGTGGCTCAGTAGGTTGAACATCCGACTTTGGCTCAGGTCATGATCTTATGGTCAGTGAGTTCAAGCCCCACCTCAGGCTCTGTGCTGACAGCTCAGAGCCTGGAGCCTGCTTCAGATTCTGTGTGTCTCTCTCTCTGCTCCTTCCCCGCTCATGCTCTGTCTGTCTGTCTGTCTGTCTCTCTCTGTCTGTCTCTCTCTCTCTCTCAAGAATGAATAAGTGTTAAAAAAAAAAAATAAAAAAAGAAAGTAAACTGATTTAAATAACCTTCTCACTCTTACTCCTCTGCTTACAGCCTGGGAGAAAGCGTCATGGAGACGTAGAAATGCATACCACTCTCTATTCTGTGTCCTCTTCAGGGCCTAAGTTTTAATAATATAATGGGTTGGGGATAAATGAATAGATGTACCTATAGAATCTCTTCTCTTTCTTACTTTTAACAGTGAATTCTCCTCTGCAAAACTGTGTGGCCCATTCAGACTTGATGAGTTATTCAGGCAATCTACGTTACCACTCTTTCAGCTATGCCTTATAGTCCTCCTTTACCCTCTTGACCTCCGTATGACTCCCTTACCTTCCCTCATTTGAATACAGTTACTGATGAGGAAACAGGGTACAGAGATTAAGGTCTCCAGGTTACACAGGAAATCAGGGGGCAGACTGGGATCACATTTCCAGCAACCCGTCCAGAAATCCCACCTAAGTAGTTCATCCGGAGTTCTGTAAGGACAACCCTGTGCCAGCGCAGGTTTCAGATGAAAGAAAGTACAAGCTGGTTTGCCCATTTGAAGAAAACACACACACAGAAAGACATCCACACACATGCAAGGGTTTAACTTTTCATTTCAATTCTCTCCATTGTTCATTATCTCTCAATTTCAGTAGTTCACTGCTCAAGGCGATATCCACCAGACTCAAATGAGCACACGATCAGCTGTTAAGCATCTTAAATTGTATCTTATCCTAAGTCTGTTGTAATGATGATGCTTCTTTTTCTTTGTTTTTCCTGCTTCAGACAGAGATGTTTTCCTCTTTTTCCTCTTGTCTTCTGGAAAAGCTGCTCCCCTGATGTTACCAATACTCAGGAATTATAGAAGGGGCTTCTTTAATCCTTTGAAAACAAACACAATATTATTGTAGATTTGGCCGCTGAATCCACTGCAGACACAGCTCAGGTAATCTCAAAGCTTCCTCATTTGCATGGAAGGAATGGCTGAAAGTGATTAGTGTGAGCTCTTTGAGAACTTTTGATGACAAGTTTATTGGGAAATGTGTCTATGGAAACTGCTATCATTTCTGTTTCTAAAAACCATTGCCACGAAAAGAGTGAAAAATATTACTGAGCCTAGAAAAGCTTTGTTTTTACACCAGAAAGTGAATTTGGAATAAAAAGGCAAGTCAATATAAACATTATGTGTTCCAGATGAGTTTTACCCCATAACCACAGGTAAGTGAGACTGGACTCTGAGAAATAAGTGACAGAGATTGAAGCAATTTAAGCCATAAGCTCTTTTTGTATTATCTAAAAAAGAATGTCACTTTTTATATTGTGACTCTGGAAAAATGGCAGCAGATGAATATACTTTATTGTCAAATGCAAAAGGCAGATGTGACTGTCAAGATGTTTCTCTTTTGCCCTTTCTTCTGGGACTTATGAGCAAGCAGGATAGGCTCTTGGGTAAAGAATTCTTTCTTCACTTGGTAGCTCTAAAACTGGGCATAATCTGGGGGTGCCTGGGTGGCTCAGTCAGTTGAACTGATTATTGGTTTTGGCTCAGGTCATGATCTCATGGTTATAGGATTGAGCCCCATGTCAGGCTCTAAGCTGTGTGTGGAGCCTGTTTGAGATTCTCTCTCTCTCTCTCTCTCCCTTGCTCACACACACTCTCTGTCTCTCTAAAATATCAAAATAAACAAATAAAATAAAAATGGGCATAATCTAAATTTTAATCACTCCTTATAAAAATTTCAGGCAAATTGGAAAATGCGGTAAATGTAGATTACCCAGAACATGGGTCACTATTACTGTTTTGTACTGTATTTTATTGCTTTGCTTGTCAATAGAGAACTAAAGGAGGCCATGATTATGATTGCCCTCCACAGTTAGTAGGTAGGGTAGCTCTGAGCCACTAACCTGGAGTAGAAGTTTCTTAAATCTGGAGATGTCCCTAGAGACTATATAGCCAAGCAATTAGGAAGCTTCTGTGAAAAAGAGAACATTTGGTATGTCTGGATATCAGGAGCATATTTCAGAGCTTCTGGACCCATCCAGTTTGTTCCAATTTGAACAATCCATCATACAAGGCCTTTGTTTTGATTCATGCTAGCGTGTTATGTTTGAGAGAGCCTGTGTAGAGAGCCCTGTGGCAGCTTTCTTTGTATATACACTCAAGTGGAAAGGGTAGAGGTTATTTCGGAGGCCAGGAAACAGTAATTCATCTCCATAGAGCTGATGAAATTAGCGTTCCAGAATGCAGATCAGAGCCTAGAGCCAGCTACTGGGACTCTCAAATGTAACTTTAGCTTGGTTAAATTCTTGGTAGAGAATATGGCATAAGAAAAAGGGCTACGGTCATATAACAATGATTATCTTTGGTTTCAAAACATTTACTTACAAAATGATCTTCAGGGGCATGTAATCACTGTGAAATTATAGTGTAGGTTTCCAATCAAACTGTATATGATCATCAAAGCAAAGAAAGGAGTGAAGTCTGCTCACTGTGGATCTGTGAGCCAAGCTTGTAGGAAAAGACTGGATTCTAGGAGTAACTGATCTTCTGCTAGCTCCACGTTGACAGTCAAATCACTACACTTACCTGTGCCCAGTTTGTTCGGCTGCAAAATCAACATAATGATGTGCACACCTCACTCAGAAGACCTTTGCAGGGTCTAAGAGTATAAAAAGGCATAAGAGTAATTAGGGCTTACTGCTGGGCTACAAAATAAAATATATTATTTTCATTGATACTGCCAAGTGACTTTTTTAAAACTGAAGTATATGGTTGCACCCAAGGTTACATGAGTTAAACTACAAAGTGATTTTTATATTACATTATTTTATAAACCCATTATATGTTATGTGAAGCGTCTGGCTTAGAATACGCCTTATTGTTACAATATTTTAATACTAAAATAATAATAGCAACAGTAATGGTTATCTGTGAGTTTTATAACACTTTGAACATGGTGTCAGACACTGTGATAGCATTTTATGTGCATTATCTCATTGACTCCTGAAAGCAATGGCAAAGCAATCTGCTGAGGAGAGATTATGGTCTCCAAGTGTAGATGTGAAAAATCTAGGAGTGTGGAGAGGTGGCCATCCAGTGTGTAAGTGGTAGGTGCAAGATTCAAACCCACCTCTGTTTACTTCCTGAGCCCTATATGGGCTCACCCTTTCAAAATTTTATTTGTTGCAATCCTAACTACTAGTATCTCAGACTCTAACTGTATTTGGAAATAAGGTGTTTTTTTTTAAGTTTATTTACTTTTAAGAAGACATAGAATGTAAGAGGGGGAGGGGTGGTGCAGGGAAGGGGCAGAGAATGAGAGAGACACAGAATCTCTGAGTTGTCAGCACAGAGCCCGATGTGGGGCTCAAAGTCATGAACTGGTGAGATCATGACCTGAGCCAAAGTTGGATGCGTAACCAACTGAGCCACCCAGGAAACCCTGAAAATAAGGTCTTTAAAGAGGTAATTAGATTTAAATAAAGTCATTAGGGTGGACCCTAATCTAATACAACTAATGTTCTTATAAGAAAATGCAATTTTGACAGATACACATAAGGGGAAGACCGTGTGAAGACACAGGCGGAAGACAGCCATCTGTAAGCCAAGGAATGAGGCCTCGGGAGAAGCCAACCCTGTCAACATCTTGATTTTGAATTTCTAGCCTCCAAAATTGTGACACAAATTTCTGTTGCATAAGCCACCCAGTCTGTGGTATTTATGGCAGCCTTAGCAAACTAATAAACCATCATTATATCTTGTCAGCTCATTAGAGAGGAATGATGTCCAGCCTGGAAATCCTTAGCTTATCTGAGAAAAATCATCATGACAGAGGCAAATATTTTCTGCTCTTTTCTATCTCTACTTCATGTCATCTGACTATAGAACTTTCTCATCCTTTTTGTGATAGATCACCTTATTATTCCGCAAATATTTACTTTCCTCTTCTCCGAGGGAGGGATATACCTCTGCTCCACTTACATTTACTTGGTCAGGTGACTTACTTTAATCAGTTAAGTGTTGAAATGATGTGAGGGTTGAAATGTGTTTGCACACTAACCTTGGCTTTCCCTTGCCCTTGGAAATCAGGCCTCAGAACAAATACATGTGAGAGCAGACTTGAATTGACCCTGTAGCCTGAATGAAAAGTCCATCCTGGCTCAGGCAAATTGCAGTCAACACTCAGACCTGTGAGAATAAATTATTATTGTTCTAAGCTACTGATACTTGAGGTGGATTTTTTTTTATTATTGTGGCAACAGCTGATGCATCTATTGTTATTTTATCCCGTGATATCCTTTAACATGCTATATCTGGGTCATATTGTGTAATGAGAGTCTCCACTGGTTTTTCTGTTTGATTTGGGGAAAATGCATGCCAGGATCCTTCCAAAAATTTCCCACATCCTGGAGTTCAAGGGTAGAGATTCATTCCATTAAGTTTCAATACTCTCTGGTCTTTCGGAATCTCCCTCTGAAGAGAATCTTGGGCAGAAGAGTAACTTCCAAAGACCAAATCAGCAAATCTTATTGTTATTAAATTATAACAGGATAAAACCTGCCAGGGGAAAAATGCATTGAAGCAGGAAGAAAATATTCTGTGGAAAGCCTAGGATAGGAGGGCAACATCAAAGACAAACTTCATGCTCTTTACTCTTTTGTCAAGGATCAAGCCTTGTCCCCGGATAGCATGGCCCAAAGTGGAAATTACCAAATATCCACCCACAGGAGAATGAATAAAATAAATTGTGGTTATTTCATACAATGGAATACACTGTAGCACTCGTTATGATTTTAATTGCGTTCCTCCACAAATTCTTATCTTGAAGTCCTAAACCCCAGAACCTCAGAAAGTGACCCTATTTGAAAATATGATCATGGCAAAAAATGCAATTAGTTAAGAAGACCCAGGCTGGGTCCCTAATCCCAGACTGGTAGAAAGAATGCCTTGTGAAGAGAGATACAAAGCAGGAGAATGCCATGTGAACTTGAAGGCAGAGAACAGAACAATACATCTACTTCCAAGACCTGGAGTGCCAAAGATGGCCAACAGACCACCAGAAGCTAGGCGAGAGGACGGAAACAGATTCTCCCTCACAGGGTACGCACTTTGCTGACACCTTGATCTTGGACGTTTAGCCTCCAAAATTGTGAGACAATAGATTGCTGTTAATAGTTTGTGATTAGAACAGCCTCAGGATACAAATACAACAATGAAATGAATGTACTTTTATTGCACGCAACCACATGTAGGATTCTATTGACTTTATTTTTGAGTTGGATGAAGTTAGACACTAAAAAAATACAATATGAAAGTCAATTTATACAAATTTCAAACAAAAGGAAAATGAACTTATGGTGGTTTCCTTTAGGGCTAGGGGAATAGAATATGGACTAGGGTATATGGAGGCTTCTGGGTACTGTCATATTCTTTTTCTTTACTATATAGTGGGTACATAGGTGTGTTCACTTTGAAATAATTTATTGAGGTTTACTCTTATAATTTGTTATGTTTTTTAGGCATACTGTATATCGATATGAGTGATTTTTAAAAAGATACTGATGGGGAGAAAGAGATAGAAGTCAGAGGATTTAGAAGAAATACTTGACAATGTAAATAAGAATATGAGAAGGAGGCATGAAATAGCATCCGGAGCACAGTGGAGGGTTTGGCTCAGGTAGGAAGGAGGGACTTCTGCGCCTGATGAGAAGGCCCTAGATGCATTATAACAGAAGTGGAGTTTGTGAAGTTTCCATTTTATCAGGGCTCTCTTCTTTCCTTTGTCTCAAATAAAACTTGAGTTTAGTATTTCAAAAATATTCTTTTGGCAAGTCTCTTTGCATTTTCTGAAATTCATTTGAAACGCCATCCATTAGTCTGGCAAAGCTGGGGAGCCCCTGTGTTCATATGACATGCCTCCTGTTGCTATGGTAATTGAATGTTTACTAGAGAAAATATTACCAGTTAATAATAGCCTGGATGGAAATAATAGCTACTGCTAGACCCTTCATAGTTACACACCATCAATTTCCAATTTGCTGAAATAGGTGCAATTGGCTTTTTGAGTTTCAAAGTATGACTTTTTCCAGGCCTCTGTGATCTTTCCCCCATACCACGCACCGCAGACCCACACCCACACACCCCAAATGCTTCTAAAGAATGTTCGGCTTGTCCAAAATGATGATAGAGAGAAGCTGTTATGTTGGAGCCTTGTCATAATTTCAATAGTAGGAATAATGAATAAATTAGAAGGTTACTGTTTACTTGCTTTGGTTAATAATGAAATCACAGAGGGAATAATCATAGAAGGAGAGTATAATTCATACTATTTCTTACACTCAATGTTATCCAGAATCTCATTCCCAAAGAGCAAACCAACAAGCAGATGTGTTGAATTACTTTGTCAAAAATCATGCCTGTGCATAACAAAAATGTCTCACAAGGTATTTAGCCCACTCTTTTCCTTAGGCTGGGCTATTTACACATTTGTTCATTTATTGATTGCTTCCTTCCATTATTAATTAATTCAGCAAATGTTTATCAAGCCAGTCATTAACCTAGCTCTCAGGAAAGCAGACCCTGCCTCGGGTCTCAGAGGAGCCTGTGAGATAGTGAATGCAATGTTTTGATGAAGTCACCCCTTGTGTCACCAGCTTTTCCACGGAATGCCAACAGACTACAGCTGGAAGGACACGGCTCATGACTCAGGTTCCACATCCTCCCACAACTGGCCACCTTTCACCCACATGTGGGGAGCAGTGTGAAAGTATGGAGGTGAGGGGCAATGCCAAGGCTTGTGTGAGGGAAAACCCCTCCTTCAAACGTCAGAGAACAAACAGCCCTCCTGTGAGTCCAAGCTTATGCTTCCAGAAAGAAATGTTCAGCTACCAAGACGACCAGTTTTATCCACCAGATCTAAGGGGGTAGGAAATTCAGTGAGGGGACCAGTTTGACATCTTGGGAACATGAAACAAGAGGAGCAGGTCATCTTTGGAGATTGGATCTTGCCCTCCAAGCCAGTTGTATCCTGGACAGCTCGGTATACAAGAGAATCACTGGGTGGAGCAGGACAGGGGTTAAGAAATGGAGAAATGCATGGGGCACCTGGGTGGCTCAGTCGGTTAAGTGTCCGACTTCAGCTCAGGTCATGATCTCATGGTTCGTGGGTTCGAGCCCCGCGTCGGGCTCTGTGCTGACAGCTCAGAGCCTGGAGCCTGTTTCAGATTCTGTGTCTCCCTCTCTCTCTGATCCTCCCCTGCTCACGGTGTCTCTCTCTTTCTCAGAAATAAATAAAAAACATTTTTAAAGAAAAGAAAGAAATGGAGGAATGCATATATCTTGGCCCCTACCCTCTAGAGATTGTGATTCCAAGAGTGGAAGCCAGGAAAATGCGTTGTAACTGGTCCCCTTGTTTTGGTGATGGTGTTCCCCAGGTCACACACCTGCCAAAGAAGGGAGAGGTTAGCATTTTAGACAAAACACTCTAGTAGGGGAGGGCATGCGAAATGTGGGAAACTGGCTGGCAAGAGAGGTCGGTTATAAGAAGCATCTTCCAGGTGATAGATAAAGAGCCTGTGTAGCAGCAGTGGGTTTAGAGAGGAGGGATGGGCTCAGGAGAGATTCAGGGCTGAGAAGTAATAAAACTGTGAGAAAGATTAGGTCAGGAGGTAGAAGAGTTACAAGCCTGACTATCAATATTGCCAAAGAGAGAAGTCACAAAGTAAGGACTTCAGCTTTACATTCATTGTCTGGGCCTGTCTATACTGCCTTCATCCCAGCACCTAGCCATGGCCACCAGACTCTTGCATACAGAAGATTAAACAGAATGAAAGAAAAGTGCCCTGTCACCCAAGTCTGATGGAGATGCATACAAGGTAACTGCATCATGGATTTTTAAACACTATAGCACATGTAGAAGTGGAAGGATTATTATTATTATTATTAATTATTATTATTGAAGGTTATTTATTTTTGAGACAGAGAGAGATAGTGCAAGTTGGGGAGGGGCAGAGAGAGAGGGAAAGAGTGAATCCCAAGAAGCCTTCAGGCTCTGCATTGTCAGCGCAGACAGGGCTTGAACTCATGAATCATGAGATCATGCATGATCTGAGCCTAAGTTAGGCACTTAACCAAATTGAGCTACCCAGGTGCATGAAATGGAGGGATTTTTAAATTTTCTTTTCGTTTGTATGTTTTCTTTATTTCTTTTTCTTCTTTCTTTTCTTTTCTTTCTTTCTTTCTTTCTTTCTTTCTTTCTTTCTTTCTTTCTTTCTTTTTTTTCTTTCTTTCTTTCTTTCTTTCTTTCTTTTCTTTCTTTCTTTCTTTCTTTCTTTCTTTCTTTCTTTCTTTCTTTCTTTCTTCTCTCTCTCTCTTTCTTATTGAATATTTCTTTTTGAGAAAGAGAGAGAGCAGGGGAGGGGCAGAGAGAAAAGGAGACAGAATCTGAATCTGTCTCTAGGCTCTGAGCTGTCAGCACAGAACCCATCATGAGGCTCAAACTCATGAACTGTGAGATTATGACCTGAGTGGAAGTTGGGCGCTTAACTGACTGAACCACCCAGGTGCCCCATTGTTTGTATGTTTTCTTACATGAACATTGGTGACAGGTTATTCTAGGAACCAATGTTTAGGAGGATCAAGGACATGGTGGAGGCCAGGGAGTGTGACACACTGACCATTAATGTACGATTGTTGAGGAGTTTCTGAAATCAACACACTGATTTGACACTACCTATTCCATAGTAGTGTGACCTAAAAATAACTTGAATTGTAATTTTTCTACTCCGTCATATTTCCTGGTGGATTTTGTCTCTGATGGTTAGAACAAAAACAATGACAGAAGTTCTGCAGTGATGGGTCCAGAGCAAGGGGAGAGAGGGGGCTCAGCAAATCGCCAAAGAAATAGTCAGAACAATTAGAAATAGTGCATTAGGTGGGGTTGGGATATGGGAGATAATGATGAAGACTGAGTTACTCTGAAATAGAAGAACCACAGTCTGGAAGTCTTTGTACCAGAAGCCACATGCCATCAGCCCCTCTTTCCATCATCAGAGCTTCATCGAACCCTATCACTCAACTTGAAAGAGAAAGTTGGGAGAGTTGACAAGCAAGCCACTCTTCCACTGGGGTTACCAGTGACAGTTGAGCCTGCTCACAAATATGTATGCCATAGACCAGAGAACATACTGCACTTATTCAAGAGTGTACATCATTTCTACTGTTTGTTTATAAGCTGTTGATTAGATAAGTAGTTTTCATCATAGGCAGGATAAAAGTCAAGGAAATAAGAATGTACTCTCAAGTATATTATTTGTTCTCCTCTATCTCTATTTTTGTTCTCTCTATATCCCTATTTTGATATTTTGTTTCCAGAAAAGAGATTGGCCAATTGCAACATACAAGCCAGGTCTAGGCATGTCCATTTGTTTACATATCCTCTGTGGTTGCTTTCTCTGACAACAGCAGAGTTTCATAGTTGAAGTCACCATATGACCTGCAAAGCCAAAATAATTTACTATCTGATTTTTTTTTTTTACAAAGTTTGACAACCTCTACTTCAGAAGA